CTGCGGGCGGGAAGCGCCTTCCCCGGGGACGCGAGGCCAGGCCTCCGTTTCCTCCAAAACCATAAAGCAGTGGCACATAGTTGTGTTTTGTGAATAACCGTCACGAGCTTATAACGTGTCTTTTTACCCGTCGCATGCCTGTTTTGTGGGCAGAACAGACAACTGTTCAGATCCAGGGCAGTTCCGGAGTTCAGGGTTTTTTTTCATGGATATAGGGCAGTTGTAGTGTTCTCAGCCGCCTTTTCCTAAAAGGAAAAGCCCTCGAGCTTTACTGTTGCTCAGATGGCTCGAGCTGCAGCAGCTCACCCGAGTTTGCAGAGTGTCTGAAGTATTACCGCGGGGTTACCAGCTGTTTTTTCCCTTCAGAAAGGTATTGCAGTCACATGCCTCCACTGTCGCTAGAAGTATGTCTTTCCTCCAGCATGCACAGGAGCGGTGCAGGGGGAGAGTAGCACAGAGCACATCCAGTGTATATAGTGGGAGAACTGTGCTAACAGTGAATATGTAGAATGGCTTGCCTTGCCTGTGAGAAGGCTTAAGACTATTGAAAATGTTGGTTTAGGTGCAGAAGCCAGGGGACTAGGAAGTCTGCGAGGCCAGCAGGAAACATCGGGGCACGCTGTGAATATGCTGTAAAATTTGCAGTTCTACAACCACTGTGGGTCCCTCTACTTCAAAAGGTTTTGGTCCCTAGCTAGGCTCAAGTGCTTCACAAGGAGGGAGCAATCTGCTTGTATTTAAGACGCTGAACATAATTATCCCTACTCCTGCCATTAACCTGTATTTCTCTATGAGACATTGTAGATTTTGTTGGGTCTTTTTCGATGGTAGTTTACAACAGTGATTTGTGACCCATTTAAGGCATGAAGGGGTGAAGGCTCTTGCCAGGATTTCTAGATTTTTCTGCTAACACAGATCAAAAGATGAAGAACATGACCTACATCTTTCCCGTCTGTGTTCTTCCAGTGCGCTTGAAGAAACTTCAGATCTAGATGGCATTGCAGCTACCTCCTTCCCCCTAATGTCTTTCAATTTAAACAGTTTGAACAGCCCAGACTTCTTACTGAGTATCTAACACAGCAACAAAGTTTGTTGTATCCACCTTGAATCCGTTTTGCTGTCATGCAAATGAAATGCACTATACCTGTGATGGATTCCTACCCAAGTCCATCTGTTGCAGGGAAGATGAATGAGTTGAATTGAATTCTTAATAAAACTGCTCAAAAATCCTGAAAATTCTTGAAACAAGTTATTTCACTTGGACTTTCAGTTAATGCCTGTAGTTTCAATTTCTTTTGAAAAGGTCCACTGCTGGTTCTGTAGTCATTTTATTCTTTAATTAAAGGGGTTTATTTAATACTTTATTTAGTATTTTAGTAATTTTTTTAATAATGATTTGGTGTTTTAGTAATGATTTAATAATTTTAGTAGTAATTATGTAGTAAATTTAGTAATAATTTGCTAAGTTTTACATAATTATTGAATATGGAAAGTAAGGAAATAGAATGATAATGATAATAGAATGATAAGAAAGAATGATAAGGAAAGATAGCAGAAAAGAGAGTATTTGGTGGCCTCTAGTTAGAGATCATGAAGTTTTCTTTTTTGATGGGTCCACCCTGACAGAGAAAAGTAGATGGTCAGGGAAAGATATATTTTGATAAACTACATCCCCTGGGATTTGCCATCTCTCCTGTAAAAGACCAGGTTGTCACTGAACTTTGTGACAGTTTGCATCGACAGAAGAACTGTCCCTGGTCACTGGAAACCCTGCAGGCGCTGACTGCAGCACGCGACGTGGGTGTCCACGGGTGGTAGGAATGCCACCCTTTCTGAACGAGGCTCAGCACTGCTGTGAGCAGTTGTGAAGGCTTAGGAGGGCTGTCAGTCTCTGTTTGCTGATGGCTGCTTCTCCGTTCTGCCAAGCTGAGCTGGGGCAGCCACATCTGTGCTAGTTGCCACCAAGGAGTGCAGCTCTCCAGTTTTGCAGTGGGGTGATGGTGCCCCCCATTCTGGCACTCGTGGGAGGTGAACAGAGCAATGCGAGCTGTGCACAGGCAGGCTCATGTGTCCAGCCAGCCAAGATACAAAGAAAAGTGGGTGAACTTACAGAGGTCAGGAACAGCCCTGGTTAGACCTATCCAAGACTTTGCAGCCACCAACCTTTGCTGAAAACTGTCGTCTCAGAAATGGAGATATTTCCTTGCGGGGTGCAAGGAGTCTTTCTTCCACACAAACTCATGGCCTTTTAAACTTCGTACATCATTGCCTGGGGTCAATCCTGGCATCCATAAACCCATCTGTCCCACTGCTGTCCACCACTCCAGCTGTCACGTAGATGTCCGCTCTTGAACCACAGACTGATGCATTTGCCAACGGGCCAAGGCTTTGGCCTTTCTTTGCCAGCACGAGAGCATGAACCAGTGCTTTTGGAAAGAAGTTGGGACCTTTTGGCATCCAAGTTGTCAGGGAAGTTAAGCCAAGTCAGCTGGTTGGTTCCATTTCCTGGTGGATACTCTCTAATTTTCTCTATGATTTTAAAGACAGTTTGAAAGCAACTAAGCTCAAATAAGGGAAATGAGAGAGTAACTGAGGATATTACAAAGCTGTTGGTTTCCCTAGACAAGTAAACAAGAAGCTGGGAGGGGACACAGCTGGGAGAGCTGACCCAGACTAACCGAAGGGATATTTCATACCCTGTGATGCCACACTCAGTGTATAAAGCTGGGGGAAGAAGAAGGAAGAGGGGGATGTTCAGAGTGATGGTGTTTGTCTTCCCCAGTAACTGTCACATGTGACAGAGATTCTGGAGATGGCTGAACACCTTCATGCTGATGGGGAGAAGTGAATTAATTCCTTGTGCTGATTTGCTTGCACATGCAGCTTTTGCTTTGCTTATTAAAGTGTCTTTAGCTGAACCTACAAGTGTTTTCTCTTCTACTCTTCTGATTCTCTCCCCAGTCTGACCCAGGGTGGGGAGAGAGCAAACAGCTGTAAGATGCTCAGTTGCCAGCTGGGATTAAACCATGACAGTTGTGTTTTCAGAATGACCTTCATTAGGGCAAACACCTCATTAAAAAGCATAGAATGGTTTGGTTTGGAAGGGACCCTAAGGATCATCTGACTCCAATGCCCCCACTGTAGGCAGGAACACCTTCTGCTAGACCAGGCTGCATAAAGCCCCAGCCAGCCAGGTCTTGAACACATCCAGAGATGGAGCATCTGCAGCTCTCCTGGGCAACCTGTTCCAGTGTCTCACCAACCTCACAGTGAAGAACTTCTTCCTTACATCTAATCTAAATCTACCCTCTTCCATTTTGAGGCCGTTACCTCTCGCCCTATCACTACAAGCCCTTATACAAAATCCCTCCCCAGCTTTCTGTAGGCTCCCTTCACATGCTGGAAGGCCACAGTAAGATCTCCCAGGTGCCTTCTCTTCTTCAGGCTGAACAACCCCAACTCTCAGCCTCTCCTTGTAGGAGAGGTGTTTGGCCATCTGATCACCTTTGTGACTCTCCTCTGAACCTGCTTCAACAGGTTCATGTCCTTCCTGTGCTGGGGTCTCCAGAGCTGGGTGCAGCACTCCAGGAGAGGTCTCCAGAGCAGAGCAGGGCAGCAGAATTGCCTCTCTGGATGTGGTGGCCACACTTCCTTTTGAAGCAGTCCAAGATACGCTTTGCTTTCTGGGCTGTTCTTGCACATTGTTGGCCCCTGTTGAGCTTTCCATCAACCAGATCCCCCAGGTCTCTCCTCAGGACTGCTCTCAATCCATACTCCGCCCAGCCATAAATATTACCACTAATTAAATACTTCAGCAACTGTAATTCTCATTAGAGCATTTACCACCACAAATAGAGTAGTGTAACTTGTCAGTTCAGGGTACGTACACAGTCAGCCTTGCACTCCTCAGCTACTGGGAACTTGGGGTTACATGTGACATCTGAGACATTTTTTTGTAAGCCTAGGAAAAGTTGCCACCCCCCTTTCCATCCAGGGATTTAAAAGTTGAAGCTACATAAGCATTTTTGCAAAAAATCCACTTGTACTAATCTTGGCCCAAAGCTGGCCCTGGCCTGTGAGCAGGCAGGCAGCCTTGGCGGGCAGTTTCACAAGCTGCAGTGCTGTAGGGGGAAGCTCAGGCAGGGAAAATAGCCATCCACAGCAACATCTGCAAACAGTAACTGTAAAAGCAAGTCAGCCTTATTTCTGCCAGGTTCAAGGAGGTGCTTGTTGTTTTTGTGTGCTGCCAGGAGACCTTGTTCCCTTATATCAAAGACAACGTGAAGAAGTACCTGATTGCTCACTGGGAGGAGGAGGAGTGCCAGCGGGATGTCAGACTTCTGAGGAAACAGGTAAAGGAGTTACACTGTATTTCTCTGAGTTTTCATGGCATGCCTGAGACCAGGTCGCTCAGACTCCTCCCCTCACCTAGCACAAGACCGTGCCTCTCATTGCCCCCCACGGAGGCTGGTTGCCTCAACAGGCTGATTCTTTCCCACCCAAAACCTGGTTTTGTGCTGAGTGAAGAGATGGAACTTGGTAGGCTGCTCAGCTGCTTCCCTCGGCTCGCCTTCATCTTCGTGGCCCCCAGGTGAGTGTCAGTCCACGACTTTCCAGCCTTGTGCCTGCGTTGTGCCCTTCTTTTGCTGGATCCTCTGCCTGCACCTCCCAGGCACCTGTCTGGGAGCCTGAGTGGAGGGGTGGCAGAGTACTTGTCCTGCATGGAGTGGTGTGGTCCTGCCTCTGGGACACAGCATCCATTTGAGACCTGTGGCTGTCTGAAGCTAACAGATGCGTTTCCTTCTTTGCCTTAATTTCAGTAATTAAATACCTAAGCAACTGTAATTCCCATTAGAGTATTTACTGTTTGGCTTGGAAAGTACAATCGAAGCAAGTGCTGCTAAACACTACTGAAGTCTGAACTTGCCATTGAGAAGAGCATTCCAACAGTGTTGTAACCCTTCACATGAAGAGCATTTCAAGCTGTGTCCTGCACAAGGTGCATTGATGCGGGTGTTAGACCCCTTTCATGAACTGAGGTGTTACAACCACTCCACCTCTGCCCTCACCTCTTTTTGTCTTGGGTTATTTCCAGGCTCAGGAGGACTCCAGCTTGGATGGGGCTGTGCCAATCCCTCTGGAGACTGGGAGTGGGGAAGAGGAGGTGGAGCGGGTCATCCAGGCGGTGGTAGACAGCGTGCTCTGGCAGATGTCTCTGGACAGGAAGACCACAGCACTGAAGCAGCTGCAGGGTCACATGTGGAGGGCAGCCTATGCAACTGGGCACATCAAAGGAGAGTGAGTAATTGTGTGTGTGAGTAATCATGTGCCCCTTTCCCTGGAGCAGGTATGGGTTCATCTCTCCTAGATGCCTGTTAGCTATCCTGCAGAAAAAGCTGTTCCTGGAAGCAGCCACACGTACAAACTCAGATAGGATTACTACCTTGGTGGAGGAGCCAATACGTGTACGTTCAGTCGTTGCTTAAGCCAGGCCACTGTTGTCATGGAATCAGCTGCAGACACGTCATTTCAAACTTGATCATGAACAAATCCATTGAGCTTAATCTTTGGATCTAGGAAAATGAAAGCTTATAGTACCTTTGGGGGACTGACCAAGTTGTCTCAGTACTCACTGTGAAAATGACAAGTGGCTGAGAGTGTTTCTCCTTAAGGAATAATCAGCAGGTACATGCTAGGGAACAGCCAGTTCTCTAGCCACCTGGGCAGGGTCCATAAAGGAGACAGAGCCTGAGAAACAGGACAAGGTTACAGAGGCATGACATGGGGCAATTCTGCTCCCATGACTGGTGAAGCGTTCATCTGGGACAATTGCCTTCTGCATTAAGAATTTGGAAAATGTCTCAATATTCCTCTTACAATATTCTCTTGTTAAACCAAGAGACTGAGGCACAAGTATGAACTTTTTAGAGCTCTCCGTCTTGCATTTTTTATCATTGAATTGCACTCACATTTTGGAAGAAGCCTAAACAAGCCAGGGTTGGAGGGTCAGGTCCTTTCAGTTGTTTCCTTCTACTTTGTCTCTTACCTTAGCATTTCCTGCCTTTCCACTTCTTTTTGTCTTCAGGCTTCTCTTTACCTTTCACCCACAACACAAAGGTGCATAACAGTTTTAAGCCTGATCTTCTTACTTAGGTCAGGAGGTGCTTGGCTAAAGTATGCATTTCAAGTTCCTAAGGAAGTAAAAGAAACATTTAAGTTCACAAAGTGTTTTGCCAAAGGAAGAATGAGGAAGAAGAAAGAGCTTACTGAAAAATTTAAACATCCACCAGAGAAAGCAACAAACCCCAAAAGCAAGTCAAAAGGGACAGCTATCCTGTTGGTTTTCTTTTTAAAAACAGGACTAGTTGTCTTATAGTGGCCCAAAAACTGTAGAGCTAGCCTTGCTGTTTGGCAGCATCCAAGGAGGCTGACAGGAGTGACATGTAATAAATAACTATGAAAAAAAGGGTTTGTTTTTTTTTTAAATAGACAACATAACAAGTCTCTGAGCAGATGGACAAGAAACTGTAGAGGAAGGGGCAAGCTGATTGCTACAAGTCTGCAAAACTCAGTCCAACACCTCCTTTTGCATCTATTTGGATGCCTCTTTCTTGAGGTGCTCAGATGCTCAGATCCCCTTTTTGGGGCAGTGCCTTTCGGCCTGGCCCAGGTGGCCACACAGAGCTGGTGGGAAGGCTTGTGGTTTGAACTGGGATAAACATTCGGTTCCCTGGCAACCACATCTCCTTGAGCTCCCTTCTCCATCCTTCAGTCACAGCAAACTCAAACCTCCTCTGTGCCCTTTTGAGGCTGTTGGTGGCCTTTCCATATCAACCATCACATGTATTATTGAGGGATTTATTGTCAGCAGCACTTTGACTCTCTTAAGCACCCTCTAGCCTTCAGTTTCCCCTAGTACATGGGTCATCTTGTAAATGTTTTTTTAGCATACTGACAGCTTTTAAATACATGTAAGTGCAGCACTGGAGAGGTCTCATATGAGAAGGGTATGAGGGAACTGACAACCATGTCTGTTAGCAGTTGCCTCAGCTTTGGTCCTTCTTCCCTCTCTGACAGCTTTGCTCCCTGCTGCTGGGCTTGTCTTCGGGCAGCTGCTACCTAGGAGTTAGATGGAGCTCACATTCTGAGACTCACCAGCCCATTGCTAGACTAGCATCTTCCCTTCTCAGCACTCTGCAAGGCCAGAAGAATAAGGGGAGGGATGCTGCTGCCTAGTGAATGAGAGCTGGTTCAGCCCCTGCAGTGCAGTTAAGGCAGGGACACATCTGGCCCACGGGTACTACTGTACAACCTGACCAGGTCACTGAATAGAGTAGCTTTGACCTCAGTCCCTTAGGGGACACTCCTGAGTTGTTGTCCATCTTCAAACAGTTTGTGCAGTGCTACTTATTTAGCTCCTGCACCTGCAACCTCCTCTTACCTCCTTATGCATGATCAGAGCCTAAACCTGTGGATGGGTTTGCCCCATATAGATGCAGCTTACAGCCATAGCTCTTCACATCAGGGAAATCTTTGTAGCTTTCAAGGAAGGTGGGATTCAGGATGCAAGAGCCTGCTTCTTGGTCTTCCTCTTTATTCTTTCCTCACAGAGAAATGCAGTGGGATGCCATTTTCCCCAACCTTTCGTCCCCTGTCCAAATTGAAGGGGTTGGAGGAACTGTGCCAAACGTCTGAAACAGCTCATCAGAGCTGCTGTCTGCACAGCAGTTAGTGAGCTGCTTAGTTGGCTGGAGCTAAGAACGCATCACCTGCTGCTGAAACACTCTTTGGCTGCAGAAGCCCCGAGTAGATTGAGAATGAAATCCCCTTGCAAACTAATGGAATGGCTGTCACAGTTCCTGGGCTAAAGGTGTCCCTCCACGTGCCTCTGGGTTTGCCCTTACCTGCTGCCCTGTCTTGCTCCAGAATCTTCAAGGACGTGGTTCCAGCCATCCGGAAGTGGCGGGAAGCTGGGATGAAGGTCTATATCTACTCCTCAGGGAGCATTGAAGCCCAGAAGCTTCTGTTTGGATACTCTACAGAAGGTGATATCCTACAGGTAGATCACCTTCCTTACAGCTTCTCCCTTTGCAGAGCACGTCCCTCCCACAACTGTCTTTACCATAACACTTCATGACCAGAGTCTTGGAAAGGAAGGTGGGTGTGGTGGTTCAGCCCCAGGCGGGAGCCAGGCACCACATGGCTGCTCACTCACCCCCCACCCCCTGCACAGGAGGGAGAAAAGGGAGAAAAATACAACCCCCTGTGGGCTGGCATGAGGGGAATTCACTACAAGAACGCAGAAGGAGCAGTAAACAACAGCAG